TCGACCAGATTTTTTTTATCGCTAAACGTTGCGAACACTCTGTAAAAAATTCATGAAGTTTTATTCAACATTTTATATTGAGGAAATAACATTATTTTTGACATATTTTTTAGTTTTTTTTAGAAATTCTTCCGCTAAATAGTTAATCAGATTTTCTCATTTTTCAAGAATCGCGCGGACATTAACGTTCATATAGTTATTCGGTTCACGTCTACGGGAACCGGAAAAAGAATTAAGCCGAAATATTTTTGCAGAATTGCGCGCGTCATAATTTCCACAAAACAATGGCGAATATTTTATTAAAAATGCGAGAAGTGTGCGCTAATTTGAAAGCGAACTGCCTGAGGAACATGGGATTCAAATTCTCTCGGTCATTACGATTACTTAATCACACTGGTCAGAAATAACAAGTTTACGCGGTCGGATCTTGTTTCATCGCGATAAACATCGCGGAGCGGAGGGGATCTTCACGGAAGATAATTACAACGCAAAAAGCGGACGTCTCTCATCTAGTTACAAGGATATAGCGTTTCTTCAGATGCGAACTTTCTTTTCGGATATAACGCTCGATTGCGACTTTGTGTTGATGTTATGTGATAAAATAACAACGCAATTACAGAGTCGATCCACGATTATCGGATCTTACACCGCTTGAAAATTGCGGCAATCGGTCGCAGGTCACGATTGAAAGTTGGTCTAGCGATGTGGTCTATATGTATAGTAACCGATTCAGGTAACACACACGTCCCGTCGATATATACATCATGTAAAAGAAAACACACCGAACAAAATACGCGCGTTTGTATGCAACGACTACGATATATCCGACCGATTGTGCAACCTGCCAGCAGCTTCGCCCGCAGAAATTCTTAATGGATCTCGAATATATCGGCCAACTTCCTGATAGAAAAAGTTTTTTTGTTTGCTAGATGGCACAACACGTCGTGTGTTGTTGCACAAAAAAATTTGCAATTTTGATATTGTTACGTAAGATTTATTGTATCCGGTTGCAACAATGTTTGTTGCGGGAACGCCGCAGCGACGTATCTATATACAAGCGATACAACGAAGTACAAATGTGTCTTGGAAGGAGACGTTGTGTCTTTGTTAAAATAAAAATAAGCTGATGACTCTCAATTAAAAAAATAAATTTTAATTGAATCATCAACTTCTAATTCTCTTGGGCCGCACCGTAGATCGCGCTGCATCCACAACCTCATATTATATATTCTCTCTAGCGTGCAAATGACTCGCGATGATTACAGCTGTGCACAAATGCGGAAGGAAAGTCGAACCTTCCGTGACGCTTTATAAAATTCTTTCTACGTGCGATATTGCGCCCACAAAGTTGTGTAGAGAAAATAATATCTCCACCGCGTGCATATATTTGTTCTAACTCGTTACTGGAAAGTTTACACGTATGTCTATTACGTGTCTATCTGTGTTTTTTTTCGCAACTTCTCTTCTGAGAATTAATTTATTTTGAAGTTTCTGGCCTCTCTTAAATTTGACAAGGGTTCAATATTTGTGCGTCCACTTGTCGGCCATATTTTACCAAAACGTCAAACGACACGTATATTACACACATACTCGAAAACTTGTCCCGCGGACATCAGAAGCGAGAATCGCACATTCCCGACACACATAGTGAAAGTAACCGATTCGATTATCTGTCCGAAGACAAAAAAATTGAAAGGACAGCTGCCTCGGACATCGCATCGGAAGAAAGTAATTCCGTCGCGACGGCGGCTCAAGAGTAACGACTCTTTCTCTCAGAGAGTTCGTCACTTCCTTGTCTCTCTCTCTCTCTCTCTCTCTCTCTCTCTCTCTCTCTTTCTCTCTCGTATGTCACAGAGAATTAAGAGAATTTGGGGATCGGCTCAAACTTTCGGAATTCGTTCGAGAAAAAGAAATACATCGCAATTCAGCGCCTGATAATCTCTAAAAGCAGATGTTTCTGAACAAAGAAAGACTTGTACGAGAAAACGTTGCGAGAAACTTCGATTCGAGAATTTTAATTCGCCTCATCATGACGGAGAGAGAAAGAAAGAGAGAGAAAGAGAGAGAGAGAGAGAGAGATCACGATGGATTTATTATTCTTCCGGTTGTGTTGCCATTCGTGCAACATACCGTACACGAGCAGAAGTTAATGGCACGATCGGATTTTTCTTTCGGGATCATCTAACACTAATGCACAACCAAGCGCATCTTCCAGCGAGCATGGCGCGCGCTGGTGAAAGCCATGCAACCGTGATGATGCATGCGCTTTTCAATGCGAAGAGCGACAGTAACCCTGAGGAAGAAAGTCAAAGTGAGACTCCGCAGGTGGCGAATGCCAGTTCAAGATGCACTCACAGAGTGCAAAAGACAAGCGAAACCGTTCTCACGTGCATTACGAAATGCTTTTTTTCCGTGTTGGTGCATCGTGGGACGATGCCGACGCGCCGCCGCGCCAATAAAACATAAGAAAGGCATTTTCTATTAGTTCCGACATCTAAACGAAATAAAACGTTTGATTTGTACGCAATTACAACAAGACGGAGTTTTAATTTCAGATAACCACAGAAAACACTCACGTTTTCGCTTTTTTGTCTCTCAATAATGTGAACATAAAAATAATTTAAATAACTATTCTATCTTTTTTTTTTACTGACCAAAATATAATAACAATAATAATAAATACTCTCTCTTTATATATATTATATATTATATATTATATATTACATATTTATTATATATATTATCATATTTTTATTAGATATATTATTATTATTTAATATATTATTTTATATTTTAAACGTGAATCTCTCTTTAAAAAATTGTTTTTAAATTTTTCTAAATCTGTATAAAATTTAATACGAATTTTTTTAATTTTATTGAAAAAAACTTTAAACAAGCGATATAAATCTGCAACACAACATAGCTTATATTTTTTGAAGCTCTTAGAGTTAATTTTTTATGTTGCGTATTTATTTAAAAAAAAATTCAACACTGAAGAGATATTTTTAGAAACACATCTTTATATAATACACAGAAAAAAATACTAGTACATATTTGTTTTTTTTTTTTTCTTTTTTTACATCATATTACTCTTGAGTCAATGTGTGAGAAGTGGTAGAAAGTCCATTCCCCTTGCGGCAGTGATCGTTCAAGAAACCCTGATAATAATTAGCGAGAAAGTCATTACCGGTTATACCGCCGTATGTGTTGCGTGTCACTGGACACTGGTTATGTATCGATGTTTTCAGCCATTGAGATATATTCGCCAAGAATGCAGGATTATTAAATGTAACGAGAATCTATTTTTAATCAGTTTATGATTAAACTGATTAATTTATTATAATTTATTCAAATCAGTCTACTAAAGCCATATAACGTATTTTACTCAACCAATTAGTAGAAATCTCGCAAAAATCTTATTTCTCGTACAAAAACTTTGAAACACGATTAAAAGTTTGCTTTGGTATTTTTTTTTGTTATTGAAAAAAAGTAGTGAAACAATTGCTCGCAAAATATTTCTTTCATGCTTCTTAAAAATACAAATATTTCGGATTTACTTTATCGCTCGCATCGGATCGTCCGCTGTCTTTCACATTGTTCTCACATTCACTATGAAGCATAAACGAGGAAATCCCCCTCCTGAACTACTGAAGATGTGCGTGAAGAGTATACCCCCGCATAGCAAGCAGCGTGGCTCTCTTCTTTGTACCCCTCCTCAAAATGTCTCTGTGTCTAGAGTACTTAGGTGTCTAGGAGGCAGAGGAACATTTGCTATAAAAGCCTCGAATGTTAGGATGAATTCGTCAGAAGAGTGACGAACCGTTAAAAAAAAAAGAACAACAAAGCAGTCGTTGACTAATTTTAATTTTTTTCACATGGTGGACCACAACCCTCGTTGAGGAGACATGCGGTTTACTCTGGTTAGTGTTCGTATGTCGTCGCGCGAATATCCGTGTTCTCATTCTTCATCTCGTATAATCGTGTGTCATCAGTGCGCTTGTGTTACATATGTGAAATTTTTTTTCAAACGAGAAGTGAGAAAACATCGCGCCCGAGTTTGACAAGCGATCGTTTATAAAAGTTGTTTTAGATCCGATCGATAACGCACGCGCACATACGACGTGTCTACTACACTCTCTGCGTTATTTCTTTTTTCTTTTTTTTTTTTTAACTCGATCAAGTGACAAATGTGGAAGTACGATATAATTTAAAAAAAAAATAATACATTACAATTTTTTTATTACAATTTAAAAACTTTTTAATAATTTTTTATGTCTTTTTTTATGTGTCTCTTGAGAGAGGAATACTTTTTCTTTCCATGTTCTGGTTTATTTTTATTTTTGTATCTTGTATAATCGACAAGCACAAATATAATAAGTTGTTGTCGAACTATATTTGCAAAAAGCCTATCTAAAAACAATATTTATTAGTAATATGCTATGTTTTGTTGTCGTAATTGCATAAAAACGTCAAAAATACTATACATTTGGTCATAACGATCTTAGCGCACAAAACCAGTAGCGCTGCATTAAAGTAAATCGTCACAAACGAGCCAGTAAATTACTGCCATTTTCTAACGGCAATTGCTACAAGTGGACATTCTTGTCACTTTTCCCTCCGCGGAAATGAAAGTTGCACCCATCTATGTAGGTGGTACATAAGAGATAAAAATATACAACGCGGAACTAATGTCGCATTAAATGCGTGAAAAAATCAATAAAGCCAACGCGACACAATACGCATTATCGCATTGTTCGTGTGCATGTGTGTGTGTGTGTGTGTAAATTTAGAGTTGCTTTCTAACATTCTGCAATATATCTGCTTCTCCCATTTTATCTTCTATTTTATCTCTGCATGTTAGATGTAATATGTCACCATTTTCAAACGTGCAATACTGAACTATCTTGTACGACGGGATTACGAATTTATTTTAGATATTGAAAGAATTTCACTTTTCACTCTTCACAAAGAGCCATAGTAAACTAAACTTAAACATTTTTTTAAACATTTTCTAAAAAATTACCGTTAACTCTAATGCTGCAAATGTGTTTTTAAATACACATCTTGTAAATAATCCTAAACGTTAATGTCCGACGGTTTCTTTTATTAATTAAAACGTTGCAAAAACTCTGTAAACATTTACGATGTTTTATTAAACGTATTCTATATTAAGGAAATAACAATAATTTTGATATATTTTTTATTTTTAGAAATTTTCTCTTTCACTAAAAATAATTAACAAGATATTTTCTCATTTTCAAGAATTGCTCGGATATTAATGTCCGAAGTTCGCAGGATTAGGGTTAAATGTAAGGTTTTCTCGATGCAGTAAATTAAAACAATACGAAGAATGACCTTTTATTTGTGAATTAATTCTCTCATATAAACCGGAAACACATTATAATAATAACGCGTAAATTAACCAGATAAGAAACAACTGAAGTTAGTTATTCATCAGGTAATTTTCGCAAGTCAATGTCATTATAAATTAAGATAATAAAGTTGTTTTGTTGGTTGTAAAGTCGGAAACAAAGAGCGAGTCAAGGTTATCATTATAACACGTGGAGATAATATGCAAATATAATTTTATAATTGTTATGTTAATCTGGGAAGGGAGTCGAATCTCAGTGGTGGGGGGTTTGTGTCGATATACAGTACGTGTGCAATTTCAATCGGGATTACGACATTATCTGGCGTATGAAAAAAGTATGAAAAAAAAAACCTGTTTTGCTATAACTGGTGATCTTGACACAGAATATTGAGATGAGAGAGAGAGAGAGAGAGAGAGAGAAAAAAGAAACGGGACATAAAAATGTGATACTTAAATTTCCGCTCGTTCGCAGTTGAATTCCTCTGATGGATCGATCTCCTAAGGATATAACATTCTTCGCAAAAAAAAAAAAAAAAGAATCTTAAAGAAGCCCACTTTCCAGTTAACCGTTGGTACAGGTTTCACGGTCTCTCAATAGCCTCTTCGGGAAGAAATTGGGTGGGGGGTCGACCCAATTCGTGCGGTTGCGTCGACGACGGCGCGTTCACACGCGGCCCGGGTACTTTCATTTTTGTGAGATGCGCGTTTGTATGAGATCGCTGAGAGCGCGTACAAGAGGAGAAGAGAATCTCCGCAGGACTTCCGTCGTTTATAATAAAAAAAAAAAAAAAGTCTACAGACGAGAGACAAAAAGCGGAGAGATGTTGACGGCCGCCAATTGCGCAAATGAGATAATTGTCTACGACACGCTTGAGAGAAAAGAAGATTAACGCGTTATAACGCTATTCTCCCCCCCCCCCGGATTTACATGATCAATTAGCATACTTTTGCTCTTTTACACGCAGATATTTCTGTAGCGACGAAGGTGTCATGATAATTAATAATTTGTTCTGAGTCGATCCTCTGATTTTTTTTTTTTTTTAATGTTGACAATTTTGCGAGAGAAACATTGCACAATATACTTTACTTTATAAAAATAATAGCAACTGTTTTTAATAAGTGAATTTTATTTCGTTTTTTAAAGCTTTCTTTTTTTCAGAACTTCTAGAGAGATGTACATAATTAGTCGTTATATATTATTATTGTTGTTGTTATTTATGTCACACGACAAATTTGAACAAATTGTTACACGAAACTAATGTAAGAAAAAATGTTTCAGGTAATATTGTGCGGTCTCTTTGTTATCTCCGCGCTTGGAGATCCAATAAGAACAAAGAGAGAGTGAGTATATAGATAATTAAATTTATATAATAATAATCATATTTATATATATAGTTTTTATCAAACTTCTCATTCAAATTACTTAATTTTGCAACTTTTTCCATCGACATATTCAATCTCGCGTTCTAACTAAATGATTACTGCAGGCCTCCTGTAAGCTCGCAATATGGCGCCCCACCAGCAACATCGTACGGAGTACCGAGTGTAGGAGGACCCTCTGATTCATACGGTGCACCACCTCCACCTCCACCTTCATCGTCATACGGTGCACCACCGTCGTCGTCATACGGTGCACCACCGTCGTCGTCTTACGGTGCACCACCGTCGTCGTCTTACGGTGCACCACCGTCGTCGTCGTATGGTGCACCACCGTCATCGTCGTATGGTGCACCACCGTCATCATCATACGGTGCACCACCGTCATCATCGTATGGTGCACCACCGTCATCGTCGTATGGTGCACCACCTTCATCGTCTTACGGAGCACCTTCCGCCGGTGGTGGTCACGGATCGTTCGGTGGCGGTGGCGGTGGCGGTGGCGGTGGTGGACACGGATCGTTCGGCGGTGATCACGGCGGAGGATCGTACGGCGGCGGTGGTGGCGGTGGCGGCGGTGGTCACGGATCGTTCGGCGGTGATCACGGCGGAGGATCGTACGGCGGCGGTGGTGGCGGTGGCGGCGGTGGTCACGGATCGTTCGGCGGTGATGATCACGGTTCCTTTGGAGGAGGAGGAGGGGGATCATACGGCGGCGGCGGCGGTGGTGGTCACGGATCATTCGGTGGCGATGATCACGGTTCCTTTGGAGGAGGAGGAGGAGGAGGATCATATGGCGGCGGTGGTGATGATCACGGATCGTTTGGTGGCGATGATCATGGTTCTTTTGGAGGAGGAGGAGGAGGAGGATCATATGGCGGCGGTGGTGATGATCACGGATCGTTTGGTGGCGATGATCATGGTTCGTTTGGAGGAGGAGGAGGAGGAGGATTCGACGATCACGGATCAGGCGGTTACGGCGGTGGTGGCGACCACGGTGGAGGTGGCGGCCACGGTGGAGGTGGTGGTTTCGGATCATCGGGTCCTGGATCCTACGGTCCACCTTCGGATTCTTACGGTCCTCCTTCTGATTCTTACGGACCTCCGGCACAACCGAAAGGTGTGTGGAAAAAGAAATTAGTATGGAAGCCCGAGTGGAAGCAGATCTGGAAATCAGAGTCCAAACTGACTTGGAAGCAAGTGTGGAAGAAGGTACAGGTTCCGGTTTGGAAAGAAATTCAAGTGCCCGCTTGGAAGGAGATTAAAGTACCCGCCTGGAAGAAAGTCCAGAAACCCGTCTGGAAGGAGATTCAAGTGCCGATCTGGAAGGAAGTCCAAGTGCCGGCGTGGAAGAAAGTCTGGAAACCCGTGTGGAAGGAAATCCAGGTTCCCGTGTGGAAGGAAATTCAGGTGCCCGATTGGAAGAAGATCTGGGTACCGGAGTGGGTCAAAGTCGGCATACCGGGCGAACACACTGTCGGCAAGGATCATCACGGTTGGCAATACACTAGCCATGGTTTGTGGAAGAAGAAGTTAATATGGAAGCCGGTCTGGAAGAAGATCTGGAGAACGGAGAAAAAACAAATCTGGGTAAGTGATAAGAAACTAGAATGGAAAGCCGAATGGAAGCAGATCTGGAAGACGGAGAAGAAACAAGTTTGGGTGACGGAGAAGAAGTTGATCTGGAAAGAAGAATCGGTCCAGGTATGGATACCGCAGAAAAAGCAGATCTGGATTTCGCAGAAAAAACAGGTGTGGAAAGACGAATGGAAAAGCAAGTGGGTTCCGGTTTGGAAGGACGTGCAGGTACCAGCATGGAAGAAGATCTGGAAGCCCGTCTGGGAGAAAGTTTGGGTTCCCATTGAATCGCATCATGACGACGGTCATCACGGTTATAAGTAGATAGCTATCGATAGTCAGATATATGTAGGCAGATCGATCTTTCTTTCGTTTGCAATATTTAAAGATCAAAAACACCGTTGACAAATTGTTTAGAAACGATTGATATTAATTACCTGGTTGACCGAGCTTTATAGAAGAATAAATGCTCGAAAGTAAAATATATATACATATATTTCGAGAGAAAGAACAAATTAAAAGATAAATGTATGTTGTAAAAGAGAAAAACCTTGCGGCTAACAGTTAGAAAGCATCGCGACGATGAAATGTGCATGAAAGTCGACAAAAATTTTCAATCGATTATCTTGATGACAGCATGTCCAAGCTGTTGATTGATGATATCGCTTTATATAATATCACACATGAGGAAGTAGGTCCTCAAGATATTATCGCAGTGAAAACGAAGTTATTTATACACATATATACATATATATGAAAAGTATATTTGGATAAATCTGTGATGACGCGTTCTTAAATAGAAAAATTTTACTTACTTTGTGACAAATGCAATTTAAAAATCACTAATATATGCATATATGTATGTACATACATATTCGTGATATATATGTGTATATATATACATGTGTACAAATATTCATATAATTTATTAGTTGCAATGAGAATAATGTACATCACAATGTACATCCGCATTACATTATTGTTACATTGAAACAAATCTTTCTGTTTTTTTTTGGTTAATTTAATTTCTAACACTCAGATCCTTAGCAAAGTTCTGAGAGGAAGAAAGAGAGAGAAGAGAGAGATAAATGTTACAATTAGATTCAAAAGAATTGTGAGAGAAACGATTAATATTCTTTTTCGTAGATTTTTTTATGTGAATTTCTATACATAACATCATCCAGTTTTTTTACACTTCAATTTACCAAGATCCTAGCGCATATTACTATTATATATGTAATAAGTTTTTTTTTATACTTTGTAAATATCGTCTGAGTTTTGGGATGCGTGCATGTTTTAATATTTTTTTACATGTGTTAATAAAATATTATTTTATATTATAAAGAATAAGTTCATTCCCTGCACACATATATATTACTTTTTACAATTTCCTAAACGCGTTCCTTTCTCACTGCCAATAAATCCAAGTTTCATAACAAGGCAATATAAAATATGCAATTTATTTTTATCATTGTGGTCAGAATTTTTTTTTAATACTCAATTTTATATTAAACTTAATACAAAAAGAAAGAGATAAAAAGAAACATTAAAACAAATTTATACATTTTGAAAAACAAGTTTTAAAAATAATTACAACTGTTTAAAGATCACTGAATATTATTTGATCGTATGCACACATTTGAGAATAACAACATTTTGTATCTCTTGCAAAATATATATTATTTTTAGTAAATTTTTTTAAAATAATATGTATCCATACGAATATATAAATCACTGTAGTCCATCGAACCATCAATTCGCGTTAAATGAAAGTACGATGACTTTCATACGAAGATGTGCTGTGCAATATGTAGAAAAAAAAAAATAAGAGATGTTCAACAGGTAAGAAGGGGGGGAGGGAGAATGATGCTTTCTAAGGATAAGACGAGAATCGAGTGAGCAAGCAAGTCTCAGGGTCTTTAAGGTCGTAAGACGAGCTCACGACCTTTACTTTCTCTACGATCATGCTACAATGTAAGCGTGGGGGCGACACACGTGAGGCTGTAAAAACAAATGCCGTAATCAAACTGGCGGAGAAGAAATCCGACCGGAAGTACGGTACGATCGGTGAATCTCTCACGGCAATTTAATGAAGATTTAATTTTATAATATACTCGATACTGAGAAAGATATCGCAAGAGATTTACAATCATAATCAATCAATTGGTTGCGCTTTCGATTAAGGTCTATACACTTTTGTAGATTGTTCAAAATGTTTTGTCCAAAATTGTTCTTCAAAAATTACAAACCAAATAATAATTTTATATAACAAACGTAGCGTGTAATAATATTCCAAAGTAAAGATAATACATTCAGTGATATTTGATTCGCAAAGTTAATAATTTTGCGTGTAACAAAAAATTGTGATATAATTATTTTTAATAAAAAAAAAAGATTTTTAAAATCTATACACATTGAGATAATAATGATGTTATTTCTTTTTTGTTTTTTCAAGTAAATCACTTGAACATATTAATTTCTAATATTGCGATATAAATTAACCCTTCGACTGTAGACATAAAAAAAAACCTACGAGAAGTGTAGACCGGATCTGTGAGACCTGCGTAACTTTAAGATTGAATATCTTTGCAAAAAATCAATTTGTTTAATTTTTTTTTAATCAAAAGTTTGAACTATTCTGGGTCGATAAAAAAAAAAACAAAGATTGAAAAACTCTCCAACAGTTTCGAAGATATGAGCGTTTAAGGAAAAAATTATTGTTTCTAGAAACGTCGATGCGAAATTTTTGAATGGGTCTGGAAGACCCTGTTTACGGACGAAAGGTTAAATATTTCTAATAATTTCTAATATTGCGAATTGCGATATAAATTTAAATTTAACGCTTGTTGTGAATATTACACACATATAATATTGAAAACTGGATTTTAAACATTGCCTGTTTAGTCGGAAACATTCCATAATTCAGAACACGTATTTTCCAAAAGGAAGTGAGTGTGGCGTTTATGTCCGAAATTTATTTATTTTTCGGCTCATTCGGTTGTAATTTAGTGAAAGTAGAAGTCGTCTAAAAAGTAAAAGCAAGACGTTCTTCTTGTACACGCCAGAGAGACAATGTCGAAATCGGTCGTGAAGATGCACACGGTTCCTCCGGTGATCTTACCTTCCTCATTACATCGACCTTAATTACAAACGTTCCGGCGGTCTCTCTTCCTTCCGTGTGTGTCGGAGGGGCGTAAAATCGCTTTCGAGCCTTTCGCCCGCAGTTGTCGAGCGAGCAAAAGCCTCGAGCAAATTTTCTCGTAAGCCGGGCTTCATTAGCATATAATGACGGCGAGTTTAACGGAGCTTCGGGAAAAGCTCCGTTTAACGGAGTTCACACAGGATCTCCGCTCGAAGAGTGAAAGTGAACTCGCATGCCGGTCTGGAAACATAGCAGATTTATACATATCATATATTATATATTCTATCGCACTACGTGCGACAGATCGCACAGCTTGGTTAGTTGTCTTTTTTCGAGGCGAGGCAATTATTTTTCTACTGTATTTAAATCAGACTTGAAAAAATATTTAAATTACGTGACTGAGACAGTGCTATTCGATAAAACGGATAATTAACTGTCGAATAAAATGTTCGGAATGTCCAACTGGTTGAGCGACGCTTGTCATGCCAGAGAATAACAGAGTGTCATAAATCAGCACTAAGGAAGAGAGCTCAAGAATCGCGTAAATTTATGCTAAAAGTAACAATCGCGTAATCAAAATTCTTAGCTACTCATGAAGCAACAGTTTGTCAGAAATAGTTACATAAATGTGTTTTGCGACAGAAGTTCTGAGGAAGTTTTACGTAATTTGAATCAGTAAACATTAAACTGGTTAATATAAAAGCCAACGCTAAATGTTCGTGCAAAACAAATATATATATATATGTATATATATATATATATATATTTATATTTTATATATATATATATAAATTTATATATATATATATATATATATATATTTTTTTTTTTTTTAATGTACACTGAAAAACACAAATATATAAATATATTTATATTTTAATATATATACATATATATATATATATATTTATATATTCATTTTGCACATCCAGCATTGGCTCTTATTGACCAATTTAATGTTAGTTTAAATTTTCAAAAGTCTTATTTTTTCTTCGTTTAAATCAATAAACATAAAAACTCGCGATACGTTTTCTTTTTAATTGCAAATTGCTTACAGTTAATTATCTAAGAAAATTAAATATACCACACACACATTAACGTTTATGATTTTGATTTTCTGGTGCTTGAAATATAATTTACATAAGTAATATATGTAAAATATTATAATTATTTGACATTGCATATAACATGAATTCTATTTGTAAACTATACGGAATATCAGACGCCTTTTTGTGCAATTACAAAACGTGCCTGTTCGCAAAATGTCTTTGATCTCATTTCGAAAGTGAAATTCGTTTGAATCAAATCAGCGAAGCGTTATCTAGGTGAAATTACATGTTGAATGATTAATGTCGTAAGCAATCATTACTCGCATACTACTCATTCGTAATATCGTTATAATACCGCTAGTGCGCAATATACAATAATGTGTATCATGAAAATCGAAAACATTTTTCTTACACGTTGTTTGTAAATGGAATCGTAAACTTTACAACAAATATTTATTAAATAACTTGTCAGAAATTAACACTTTTTATTTACAAAGTTTTTGGGCTTTTTATTTATCATAAATATATATACGATGTTTTATATAAAATAATAGTATCTATTTCTCTTATTCTCTTTCTCTCTTTTTCCTTGAGAAAAGAATTGTTCTTTTGTTGTTTAAAGAAAAAATATATTATCTTACTTTATCAGAAACAATATGTAGTATTATTATTTTTAAACATCATTATGCTGCCATCTAGCAACATAGCTGTAAGGTTTGTTGATTCGCACATCTATTCGCACATCTATTCGCACGAGCGCAAGAAATAGAAATATACACAATGAAATTATATTTGTTTTATTATCGAGAAAATATCATTTATCGTTTTTACTTAAATTAATAAAATTGTTTGTACAAATAAAACAATTCTTTCAGCAAAAGAATGATAAAACTTTATTGTTAAACGATACAACATTCGACACACAATAAAATATAGTATTAAGATAAGAAATAAAATTAGTAACTTTTAATATTTAATAAACGAGAAAAATGTTAAACAAATTCTGATCTTATTTTTTGTTTTAAATTCAAATAAAAACTAAAACAAAATAAGTCATAGCATAATAACTTTCTGCATATCAAAAACATCTCAAATTTAATCTACTTCATATTTATATCTCGATGTTTTATTTATTTGTACTCTTCTATTTGCATTAGAACAACAAGCGTAATAAAGAGACGACGCTTCATGGGCCGGTGAAGCGATCGTGTGCACAGATTTCACCTAGATAAAGCACATCGCTGATCACAGAGTCAAGACGAAATTTCACTTTCGGATAATGCTCGTCTCGAATGCATCGCGCGCGAACGATGCACCCATAACTCTCTACTCATCCGTTAAGTACTGCGGAGAAGGTCGTTTGCGGGTCGAAAACCTGCTCTTGCAACACGTTTCTCTCTGTATTGCAGGGCCGCAAAAGTCTCTCACGCGCGTGTGACAGGTGCGACACTCGAATTCCGTCTTTAAACTCTGACTCGCATGCCAAACGAGATAGACTCTCCGCGTTTTCTCAAATGTCAAAATATTATACAAAACAGACACACGGCAAAACAAAAAACGTATTGTTTGCTGATTTCTATCGTCTTCAGGTTCATAAGCATTCAAATTAAGATTTGTCGCAAATTTCGCAACGCGATGAGTTCATGTAATAGCTGTGGCGACCGCGCGCAACGCGTTTAACAGAACTCTAATGCACTCCTGTCTTTGCGGGAACCGTTAGATCGTACACTTCTATCCGGTCTCGTGCGGCGATCGTTCTCCGAAGTCATTATTTATTGCGCGTAAAGCGAGTGTACGTATTTCGATTATAATCTGGCTACTTTCCCATCATGACACTTGACACGACGACTCGAAGATGGTTATTTATTTCTTCCTTAAAAAAAACTCACCGCGTTGGAAATTCCTTTCTTTCGCAATATCGCATATGTAAAACTATATTAGTTAACATTTTCGAGAAGTACGCGATTTTGTCGCGAAATGAGGTCGCAATGTTTGAGTAAAACACTTCGGCACAGATAGCAGCTAAAAAAAAAAAAAAAAAAACAGTTTACAAAAATAACAACAGACACTATATTCGATATTTTTTTTTATCGATGTCAGTGCAATTGTACCAGAAATAAATTTGCATATGCAAATCTAATCGGATTCGCTACAACTATAAATAAATCGTACATCCGATCGTTTTCGACGTGGGCGAGCAGGAGAGTTTGGTGAAAGCGTTAAATGGCTCCGAGACTCTCCGCATATGATGTAAGAGCCGAAATTTGTATTGTAAAGTGCCTCGTTTGTTTTAGACATGGTCGTCACTTTGTAGAGATTGAGATAATAAAAGAAATTTCGCTTATTTGAAGACTGACTAACTAAAACAGTGCAATCGCGGAAAATGCGTCGTAAAAAATCGAAAAATAACGACAGTTACGTCGTTTACTTATCAAATTAATGAAGCAAAAAGTTGAGGTGAAAAAAAAAAATCTATCTCGAAGACTGGAACGCAAACAGGAAAAATTATTTTCGTTCTTTTTGACTTTAATAACGTATATTTCCGATTATGAAAGGAGGAATCACCACAGCGTAAAGCGTAAAATTATTCGGTTGCGTGACTTTTTACGACGGGTTTTAGGTGTACACACCCGTGCGTAAAACAATTTGCTTAAATGGCCGAAACAAATGCGGACGCGTAGCGTGAAAAAAATCATTATATTAAATTAAAACAGAGAGCGCGCTCTCTCTCTCTCTTTCTCACCTCTTTCAAATTAATACAGGTACTCTTGCAACTCTTTGATATGTGATCGGCGGAGAATCGCGCTTGACATCTTAATGAGAATAATGAGTAAAGACCGAACAAATGATATTACATAATAGAAGCTGTTTTATAGTCAGCGCTACGCAGAACGCGACGACATTAAGGATGCTCGACGTCATTCGCGGTGTTTCGTCGCAACAACAACCTTTTCACTCGTGAAATAGCGCACGTATAGCTTCTGCCCTCCTTCCACCTCTCCTCCTCCGCCCCTCATTGTGTGCCGCACAGACCAAATAAAAAAAAAAAAAAAAAAAAAAAAAAAAAAAAAAACAATTTTGTTTCTTTTCGTAAGTGTTTGACATTTCATAGTGTGATGTCACTCTTTTCGCTTCTTAAAAAAAAAAAAAATTAAAAATTCTCGTAATATATATCTGTCGAATCACAATGACAATATAAATAAATTAACTTTCTTTCGTAGGCTTTCTTTATATTCTCCTTGTAGACATTCGATCTGCGTAGGCCGATAAAATGCGCATAATTGCAAAGGAAAAGTATACTTCCGTAAACAACAAAAAAAAAAAAAAAAAAATGAAAAAGTACCTGGAATAAAAGAAAGCCTAATTATGTGAAATATTAAAGGTCTTGTTTTGTGTGCTGTATATGCGCGCGCGCGCGTGTGTGTGTGTGTGTGTGTTAGTGTAGTAAAAATCAGGTTAATTAAACCAGAAAAGTCGTTCACCGCAAAAGAAATCACAGAAGAGAGTACGGTGAAAATCGTTCAAATGTCGCGATAAGCACGAAAAAAAAAACAAAAAAAAAAAAAACAAAATTAGCAACGAAAGAAAAAACGATCGCACAAGCGAGCGAACATTTAAACAAGAAAATGCAATAATTATTGCATTATAATTATATTGCATGATGAGACGTATATTGTTTCGAACGCGCGGCGCGATTGTTTCGTGATTGTTAACGACGCGACTGTACGGCGACTCTTTTCAATTTATTTCAGAAACTAGAAACTTATCTCTTCAAACGTCGATATATAATCGCTAGTTTCGCCGTGAGTTACATTGTGGAAACGTTTAAATAAGGCGCGACTACATAAATAGAAAGAATTTGAAGCGGTAGAAATTCGCGTTTAGACTCGACCTGTTCGACATATTCGCCCGATATGTATATACGGAATTTTTTATTTTTTTTTTGCTTTCTAAGTGCTTTGACCCCCCGAGACATCCGGAGATATTGGAGTTCTCTCTCGAAAGAAACGATATTTGGGTTACACGGCGGACAAGCCGCGAAGAAAATCTTTTTTTTTTTTTTTTTTTTTTTTATTGCTTATGCAAAACAAATGAAGTTTTATTATTACCATATATATGCTCATTTATATGCGGTAACATAATATGTGGCTCTAGCATCTCCGTTTCAGAGATTTCTCCTTAATAATTCCTGAAATTCTAAACACGATAAAAGCAAGAGAAAAGAAATTAAAACGCGCGGAAATAATAAATCGGATATTTTATGTGTGTTTCAAGCGCGAAACTATTTTATTCTTCGTCGCAAACGTTTCTTCGATATTCCCCGTCTTTTATTTCTGAGATACTCTTTTCGTTTCTGTAACACGTTTCTGATTACACAATAACACCGCGTTGATTTGCGAGTAAAAAGAAATCGCGCGTATATCCGAGCCGCGGAAACGGATATCCTATCTATACGAAGCGCGCAAAGTTGAATATCCTCTTGACTTGGCTTTCGTTCGTATCGCTTTCGTGTGTCTGAACAACTAAAATCTGGAACAGCCAATTCCGGAGCGAACCGTGAGCGATTTACGAACCGGAATGACGAGAATGTGTATCCCCGGGTTTCATGCGCGCAAAATGTCACGACTCTCTAGCGACGGCGCCAATGAGAGAATTCACTTTCATCCGCGGTTCTATCTCGTTCGTGGCATGTGACGTGTTAAACGGATATGCGTACTTGACGCGATTTAACACCGGATCGTTAACCGTTCGCTCGGACGCCAGGTTTTTCGCGTGTCGCTTTCAAGAGAGCTTCCTGATATCACTTTCGATACATTTTCCCCGCGAACGAGAGTAGTGCGTCTCGCAGAGGCGTTTTCGCATTATATATCGTTCGCAACGCGAAATCTCTCCCCAAATGGATATCGTTAAGATCTCGAGTCTTTTCCGCTCTTGCGCGTTATTGTCTTTGCAATAAAAAGCAGAAAATGCGCTTGCACGCGCTCGTATACGGGAAACTACTCGCGCTTTCTCTCACATGAGGGCCAAGCAGATCGTCGTTGGGAGGAAAATCGAGTGGTCGTAAACTTCGCGTAAAACGGCAATTAAACGAAGATTTCAAGATTGTTCGCAATTCCTTCAGCGGAATCGCTCCCGGATAATCTTAATAGCGGCGATTGTGCTCTTTTCTCGAAGTGAAAAAAAAAAATACATTCAATTTCACCACAATCCAATAATCGTTAAATATAGATTGTAGGCTACTTTTATATGTGTACATACATATATATATATACATATTATTAAAATTAAAACAAAAAATATTATGTTTTTAAATTGAAGACGCTTCGAATTTACGAAGGAAGCGACCAGAGGTCTAGGAAACTGAGAAACTTTTCCATTGTTACACATGTATGTTATTCTGTCGTAATCATCGGTCTCATTCTTTCTCCAGATAATCGGCATAAATTAAATCGCGAGGCATAACCTTGTCACATAACCTTCCAATCTTGAACTTCACCGTTGAAACAACGCGCGCAAATAACCGCGTACTCGCTCGACCGGATCGTGTTCTCGATCACTTTCACCGAACGGGACGCGAAAACGACGACTCGCCCCGGCCGGGGCACACACAAGGCCCATTTGCACGTCGGAAGTGGGAGGAGAGGGAAGGGGGAGAAAAAAAGAAGAAGAGAAGAGGAAGGAGGAGAATATCCGCGAGGAGCCCGAGGCCTAAATCCGCCGTTCTGGTCCGCTACCCATCGTCCAGACAAATCGCGCCCGTTTTCCACTACTTACGAATGGACCACCTCCATTACCCGACTCCACCACCGCCGCCGTCGGTTTCTTCACCGCGAAAGAACTCCTGCTCTTACTCGATGATTGCCTTTGGGGAGGATACGCGCCTATATAACTACGGCGTTCCAGTCATTGGACGAAGTAAGCTACGTTTTCCTGCGCCCAGGAAGTAAGAGTACGCGGCCCGAGCCCGACGGGCGGCATTGCGAGAAATATGAGGATTCGCCCGGGATGCGCGGTCAGTTTTTTTCATATCATTTTTTGTTGTTGTTGTTGTTGTTGTTGCTCCGCTCATTTAGAGCATCGCGCGTTTAAGAGTTCGCGCTGTAATCAAAATTGCTATTATTTGCGCGCGTTGCGGTAATAAAAGTTTCCGCTCGGTTTTTCAGTCAGTCGTAAACGGGACGATTCTTTGGGAAGAAGTGCGTTGAAATTCATTCACTAACGAGACAATCGCGCATTTTTTTTTTTTTTTTTTTTTTTTTTTACGAAGAAACTTTGTCTTTCACACCGGATGAGCGCGATATTTGTGTGGCAACCGAAAAAGAAAAAGAAAAAGAAGATAAAAGCAATTATTTTTACTACGTTTTGTTCTTTAAAACTCTTTGTCAATCATATAATTGCATTATTTTTCAGGCTGCACTAGTGTTGCTACTGCAAGCCGCTCTCGTGGCGAGCAAAGCCGTGGATCAAACGAAATTGAAGCAGCAAACTCAACGGCAAATTCCGTACGTATGACGATTTGTTTATTTCAGTCGTGAAAAAATAATCGTTTGTTTCAAACATATTTTGATAAATAGTGTTATCAAATAGTGTTGCACATGTGTTGCAAAATAAAATAACAATTTTAAATATTGAATATAAAATATAACGATTGTGTGTGTGATAATAAAATAACAATTTTATATTAAATATTTGTATTTTGTTTAATTGATTTTATTGCGAATCTTATTTTGTACAGATACGGTACAGAAGCGCAAAAACGATGGGGAGGTGACTCCGGTGGCGGCGATTACGGTGGTGGTTATGGAGGTGGTGACGCTGGCGGTGGTCATTTCGGCGGTGGTGATATTGGCGGTCACTTTGGCGGAGGTGATGCCGGTGGTCACTTCGGTGGAGGTGATGTAGGCGGTCATTTCGGCGGAGGTGACGCTGGCGGTCATTTCGGCGGAGGTGACGTCGGCGGTCATTTCGGCGGTGGTGGTGACGTCGGCGGTCATTTCGGCGGTGGTGGTGACATCGGCGGCCACTTTGGAGGTGGCGACATCGGAGGTCACCTAGGCGGCGGTGACATTGGTGGTCATCATCTGGGTGGAGGCGACATCAGTGGTCACGGAGGTGATATTGGTGGAGGCGGTGATATCGGCGGAGGCATTGACGCACACCATGATCATCATCACGACGAAGGTTACTGGAAGAAGAAATTAGTCTGGAAGCCAGGTTGGAAGAAAATTTGGAAACCGGCGAAGAAGCAGATCTGGAAACCCGCGTGGAAGAAAATCTGGAAGCCAATTTGGGTGCCGACTCAAAAAGCGGTATGGAAAGAAATTCAAGTGCCTGCCTGGAAGAAGATATGGAAGCCCGTGTGGAAAGAGATTCAAGTGCCGGCGTGGAAAGAGATACAAGTACCAGCCTGGAAGAAGGTTTGGAAGCCGATTTGGCAACCGATCAAAGTGCCAGCTTGGAAAGAGATTCAAGTGCCGGCGTGGAAAAAGATCTGGAAGCCGGTTTGGAAAGAGATTCAAGTACCAGCGTGGAAGGAAATTCAAATACCCGCTTGGAAGCAACTCTGGATTCCCGAATGGGTGAAGATCGGTATACCAGGTGAGCATTATCATGGTACAGATCATCACGGATGGCAATACACCAGTCACGATCTCTGGAAGAAAAAACTAATTTGGAAACCGGTATGGAAAAAATATTGGAAACCCGCAAAGAAACAGATCTGGATACCGGACAAAAAGCTCGAATGGAAGGAAGCTTGGAAGCAGGTCTGGAAGCCAGCAAAGAAACAAATCTGGATAGAAGACAAAAAGCTGGCCTGGAAAGAAGAATGGAAACAGATCTGGAAACCAGCTAAGAAGCAGATCTGGATACCGGACAAAAAGCTGGAGTGGAAGGAAGCTTGGAAGCAGATTTGGAGACCCGATAAGAAACTCGAGTGGATTCCTGACAAGAAGCTCGCCTGGAAAGAAGCGTGGAAGCAAATCTGGGTACCTGATTGGAAGGAGATCTGGGTGCCAGCGTGGAAGAAGATTTGGAAGCCGGTGTGGATATCCGAGTGGTTCCCCAGCGAAGACCATCACCACCATCACGGCTGGGACCGCAAGGACTCTCAGGCTCAGAACACGCAAATTGTGCCTTATAGCTCGGAAGCTTCTCGACAGAAGAAACAAACCGAACCACAACACCAACAACATCAACAACAACAACAACAACAACAACAACAACAACAACAACAACAACAACAGGTATCACAACCTCAAATAAAGACTAACAAAGTCCCATCGGGCAAGTCCTTCCAGGCAAGTTTGCCAACAATCACGCAGGATCTGGTACCGCCGCCACTGTCCAATCAAAACGGAGGTCACATCAATTTCGCATTTCCCAGCCGCTGATGAAGATAAATCTCCACGCAAAATAATCGCACTGTAATCCCAATGCTTGTGTACAAACGTCTCCGAAAGAGTATTGTAACATAAATGGTTGTATATATTACGTATTTAGAAGCTTAAGATAGATCGTGTAAAAGTTAAGTTACTCGATGTTGTTCGACTGACGCGCTCCCTGTTTGTCAGGGTGCCATTATTATCCTGACACATCATAACATGTATTTCTCCTCTGTTCTTTGTTTTTTTTATACACGTGTTGTTGTTCCCTCAACTGTTAACTAATACTGTTAAATAAAGTTTATACATATTTTGTTAAATTTTGACTAGCGTTTATTTTACCCTTCACGTAATTTAAAAAATATATATATTAAAACATATATATATTAAATATACATTAAAATTATTTATAAATTTTCTTATTTGAATTTTTTTAAATCTATGAAGCTGCCTGTTGTTTTTAAAAATGAAATAAATGCGAGCGAAAATAATTAATCAACTTGTGTCTCTTTGTGTAAAATTATGCCATTAAAAAAGTATTGTACAAAATGACACATTGTTGATGTTTTTTTTTCAGTGTATAAATTGCGAAATAATTTAATTAATTTGAAGTTTTTGAAACACTATTTTACTATTATTTTTGCGTAATAAATATTTGAATAGTTCTATGGAGAAGAATACGTAACACTCGAATCTCTCGTTTTGTGTTATTCACACTCGCAAAAAGTGTTTTCTCTTTAAAAAAAAAAGATCTTTCAAAAAAAAAAGAAAGATCTTTCGAAACTAGAACGTACAAATGGTTGTACGATTTTGAAGTAAATTGTCGCGTTTTGAACTTACGGCGGAAAGATGATGCAACTCGAATACGCGCACGTATACCTGCGAAATTGGAGAAAGTGAGAATCTGTTATGGTAGGCGATCTCGCGCGCGCGGCAGCACGTAGTGGGAAGGACCTCGACCGTGGAGAAAGTGTCCATGCACCCACACAACGACATAAATTAATCCATGCCACTGTGCTGTCTGTTTCGGTAGGTCGCACAATATTGCACGATGTGGACTTTACTCGATTGACGACGATGACTATCAAGATTTCACTGGCGCCAACCACGGAAGAGTGGATTTTTCTCCGATCGCTATGCTATTGGACGAAAAAAAAAAAAGTATCGGAGAAATCATGTTTGATCATATGTTTGTTTGTTTTTTTTTTTTTTTTTTTTTTTCTAATATAACGATACGACTTTACAGGAAACGTTTTCACTTTTATTCCGTGTATTTACTTTCGTTTGATAAATCTCTCTGTGCGCGCGCGTTAATTTCATAAGAAGATAACGCACGTGCGATCTGATCTATTATTTTCTTTTTATACAGACAATTTCTAGAAACTTCGTTGCGTGCGAGAACATTTTTCTACTTCAAGACGTTTTTCGATTTTATTTTCTTTCGAACAATTCCAACAGGTGACAAAACAGCGGGTTCGTCTTGCGCGTTAAACAGTTAGTTTAACGCGCATCATTTATTTGACCTAGAAGAACTTTCTTTTCTACGCGTTTCTGCGTTCAAATATATAAAACATTCTTATGCAAATTTGACGATTTGTAAGTAGCGACAAATCTGCGTAACAGTAGTCATTCATGTTCACAATATAATGGAAAATTTTCGAGAGTCGAATATGATAATTACTATTTGCGTCGTTTCATAAATATACTAAACCTGAGAATTTTTATCTTTCCGAGAAAAAAATGGATTAAATCTAAGAAGATCTGATTTAAATCTATAACAAGATAAAAAATAGTAAAATAGATCTACTTAGATCCAAATTAGATTTAAATAAATTTAAAATAAATTTAAATAGATTATAAGAGAGTAGATTTGTGTGTAAAAATTTACACTTTTATTTACCATTAGATTTACTTTCTTTTTTTGCACTTACTCAAATCTACTTTAGATTTAATCCATTTTTTCCGGATCAAATTACGAATTACTGATTTTCTAAATAGTATATATTATTTAATATACAAAGTTCTCTCTCAAAAAATCCAAAAACGCTAAAAATCTCAAAAACTATTAACTTTAGCAAAAAATATGTAAGCAAAGTTGTAGGACTTAAAAAAATGTACTTCCTGATGATAAGAGGTTGATCTTGGGTGGAGTCTGCAAGGTTATATGAAGATTAAGTTGAATTTTTTAATTAGATCCTCTTTTTTTATTGCATATTTCTTATAGCTTATTTAAATAGCTTTCCAAAACATTATAATAGAATATTTTTTCATTAAGTACTTCTCGAGTTATAGAGCTTGAAAGTTAGAAAATTATCGGTATTAGCATTACTCAAGGTGCATAGCGTGAAAATTGCATGTTCGAATTTGCACTTCTTCCGTGTGTGTGTCAGTAGAAATAAGGACCGCACGATTCTTATTAGATCAGCTACTTCCTGATACGATCTAACACGGTCTCCAAATCTTCGATAAAAAAACAGCAATATTTTTTTTTTTCGGTTAAAAGTTTTAAGAAAACAATTTGAAATTACAGCCGGAAGAAAGAAGAACAGACGCAGATAGCGAGATGCGAACGAGCGCGACTTTGTTTTGAGAATACGCGAATCTCGAGAAGCGGTTACGCGAAGCGCGGATGTGCACGATTTTCGGCTGTTACGAAACGATTGTTTTTCGACGATTTTAAACGATTTTAAACGATTGTTTTTCGACGATTTTAAACGATTGTAATTTCTTATATTTCTAAGAAATGCCGAGAAGAAAAACGGTTTTTATATTGCGTACGAGTAGATCTCTTGAAAATCTCTTCACAAACGCAACATTTACGTGTCATTCACAAATATTTGTTATCAAAAACAACTGACACTTCTGTTAAACGTTTCTCTTTCAAAAAAATTTCGATCGTGTTTAGAAATCTCGTGTTCTCTTCGACCATCCGACAAGTTTTCGAAGGAACTCGAAAAGATATTTTTGAATAAGGTTATAAGTCACACCGTGATAATATCGAAGGAAAGAGACATGCTTGGCTGTTTTTGTTATCGCGTATACGTGTGCACACCAATACACGTACAGACCGCGAGAATATAAATACTGTGAGAGGAATAAGGTGAAGTAAAGACCGAAAATGTTGTGCGTGATAACTTGTCTTGTGGTTTTCGTAGCTTTGTGTTTCTACAGTTGCCGCAAACCGAAAGATTATCCACCTGGTAGGTGCACGAAACAAATATTTAATAATATTTAAACTCGCGATACTGATGTAACACTTTTTTAAAAACGTATCGAGTGATTGAGCGTAACTTGGTGCGCGCGTGTATTTTTTCTGCGGACTTGTTTAATCGAAGAGATTACTGATTCGCAATCAATTTCGCAAAAATTAGATCTCTAATGCGTTAGATTAAATCGTGTGATTTCACGAGACGCGCGCATTAAATATAAAAAAAAAAAAAAAAAACTTACACACAGGTCCACGATGGCTACCGTTGGTGGGATGTTTTATGACGTTCAAGTGGTTGCATTTGAAACACGGATACGTGTACATAGCCATGCAGAAATTAACACACACGTACGGGCCGATACTTGGACTGAAGCTTGGAAATCAAAGAGTCGTCGTAATTTCAACGTACGATTGGGTAAAAAACGGTCTTCTGCACGAGGAACTCAACAGTCGACCGGACGGATTTTTCTTCAGATTACGATCGTTTGGAAAAAGAAAGGGTAAGTTGTATCTCATGTTGTCACCCACATTAAAACAAATCTTAAAATTTATTTTAAGTTTAATCGAGAATTTAATTTGTTCTTAACGCGCGTATCTGATTTTTTGCCAATTTTAAAATTGCGTAAATCGCTGTAAATCGTTTATGTAACATATATAAGTACATAACGACGACGCGACGTAGCAAATCAAATTTTTCGCACACATTTAAACTCTATCTCTGTTCGGACATATCGAAATCTCTATCTGTGCAGGCATATTGTTCACCGAGGGAAATACATGGTCGGAATGCCGCAAATTTACTTTAAAACATTGGCGATTATTCGGTAATAATTCAGTCGTTATGAAAGATCGTTTAGCCTTCGAGGCCAAAAGTCTCGTTAAACATCTGGAACGAATGAGCGCGATCGACGTGATACCCATGCACAGAGTATTTGATATCGCCGTGCTCAATTCTTTGTGGATCATGATCGCCGGTCACAGATTCACTTACGACGACGAAAAACTGAAACAAGCTCTCATGCATGTACAGGACGCTTTCAAGTAAACATTTATAAAAAACAATACTTTGCTACGTTCGAAAACATCACATTGTCTAAGAAATATTTTCAAAATGTTATCTGCACTATATAAATACTTTTTTATTTCTAATATACCGTAACAGATTAATGGACACAATGGGAGGAGTGATGTCGCAGATGCCGTTTTTGCGTTTTATTATTCCGGAATTATCGGGTTACAACAAGTTACTAAAAATTCTGGACAATCTGTGGCGCTTTATCGACGAGGAAATCAAGATGCACGAGAGCACTTCACTACAAGATAAGCCGCGCGATCTGATAGACGCGTTTCTATCGGAGATCTCGAAGAACGACAAAACTGAGAATACAATTTTCGATCGTAAGTGATAATTCTCGAAAATAATATCAAAAAATTGTTTACTGTTTGCAAGACACATGTAACTATTATATCACAGGTGAAAATTTATTAATATTGTGCCTCGATCTCTTCATGGCCGGTTCGAATACAACCACCGACACGTTGGCAACGACGTTTCTCTTTCTCTCGTTAAACCCTGAGTGGTTGAAAGTGATACAAGAGGAATTAGACAACGTTGTTGGCAAACACAGAGCTCCCAACGAAGACGATCTACCGTTCTTGCCACTAACGCAAGCCTTCTTAGCTGAGGTGAGACATAGTAACCCTAATCCTGTAAATCCCGAGCAATTCTTGAAAATGAGACAATTTTATTAACTATTTAATAAAATATTTAGTAAAAGCATTACTAAAATTAAAAACCTTGTGTCAAAACTAATGTTATTTCTTTAATATAAAATGTTGAATAAAGTCTTGTACATTTTTACACAGTTTTTGCAACGTTTTAACCAATAAAAAAATTCGCATCAAACATAACTGTTTAGAGTGCGGAATACGTATCTAAGAAACACTACCTAAAAACGCGTTTACGAGATTAGAGTTGATAAACATATTAATATATATATTACTAGACAAATTAAGTCATTATTAATAGAAACATGTAACACATACATGGCAATTTGAAACACATTGTACTCGATACATAAATAAACAATCCAGGTGCAGAGATATCTGATCTTGGCGCCGCTCGGCATTCCTCACAGAGCCGAAAAAGACGTCTTCCTGAACGGATATCGAATACCCGAGGTAAGAATTTCGAAACTTCTTGCAAACACAAACAATTTACCGATTCTATATATGTATATATCCCATTTCACGACGAAATCTCGTATTTTCGCAGGACACAATTGTTCTCTTCGACTTTCACAGTGTTCACAATGACACGCAGTACTGGGAAGAACCAGACAAATTCCGTCCGAAACGATTTCTCGACGAAGAAGGCAAATTTCGTCGAAACAGTTGCGCCTTACCTTTCGGTTTAGGTAAGATGTCAGGCGTTGCAACACATATACATTGTACGCTTTATGCGTTTGTTTGTCTACACCGCGTGAATCTTACGTCTCGCGCGTCATACTCGACTCGCGCCATTGTAACTATAAGAACAATACGAGCTGTTATTACGTGCGTTTCAGGTAAAAGACGCTGCCTGGGAGAACAGCTAGCACGCTCGTCGTTGTTCTTGCTGTTTACTTATACTGTGCACTACTTCGACATGGAAATCTCACCCTTTCACGACAAACCGAACCCGAACTGCTCTGACGGCTTCACCTTGTCGCCGAAACCGTTTTATCTCAAACTAACAAGAAGAATTGAAAATTACTTATAGAAGTTTTCGTTGATAGTTATTCGTTTTTTTAAAGTAGAAAGCAACAAATATAGATAATATATATATACATAATATATACGTAATGTATATATATATATATATAATACAATAACATATATATATAATACATATAATGTACAATATATGTAAAATAATAAATATATTATGACAAAATAAAGATTAGTGACAAAGTATTTCAAGACAAAGTATTTTAACATTAAAAAAAATGCTAAAAAAAGTACTGAAAAAAGATAAAAAATATAAAATAACATAATAGACATTGTAATAATAGAAAAATTAAAAGAAATGCTACACTTTATTTGAAACGTACAATCATCATATTTGCATTAGTTATTTTTATTTTTTTATTTAACCTACAAAAAACTAGTCTACAAAAAACTTTTCACTCAAAAATTCAACATGTTAAGACTGTTTAGAACAATAACTTTTATAATATACAGTTACTCGGTTACTATGAACGAAGTCATCGTGGAACGATTAGCAGTTCATAAGGCTTCGGATCGACCGCTACTCCTATGTTTACTTCTATTTTAATAGAATCTTCATTGTTCGGCGGAAGAACCCGATACTTTTGCATCACGCCAACAAAAAAGAAAAACAGCGCCGATCTGGCGAGTATTTCTCCAGGACATCGTCGTTTCCCTGAATAAACAACATAAGAAATACATTTTTAAGGAACAAACCTTCAAGATATATATACAGAGTACGAAGTTTTATTTCGATTTCGCAACGTTTAATTTCGCAACAACGTAAATTATTGTACTACGAATGTAGTGATTTACTTGCCTTTTCCAAATAACAATAAGTTTTCATTTACTTCAAAAATACCGTCCTTCAAAAATCTTTCGGGCTTGAACGACATCGGATCGAGAAATAGCGTCGCGTCGTGATTTAAAGACGCCATGTTAAACAATACTGTGGTACCTCGCGGTATTTTGTAGCCCTCGATTATTGTATCCTCGACCGTTACTCGAGGTATCACCGGAAAAATTATCCATTTCCTAATGCACTCGTTTATCACAGCCTCGGTATAATTCATTTTACTCCTGTCGGTCATATCAAGAAATCTGTCGGGACCGATCACTCGATCGATTTCCTCGTGCAGTTTGCGCTGTGCATCCTGGTGATTGGCCATTTCTAAAAATAAGAACTCTAAAACCGGCGTCGTCGTGCTAGTTCCGGCAATAAAAAAGTCCACCAAAATGATACGCAAATTGTTATCTGAAAAAATACGTACGTAAGAATATCGACCATTTCGTAATTTTGAAAGAACAATCGCGTAGGAAACACTTTCTCTCGACGGTGCTTTCAATAGCACACTCCGATTTGCCGATGGAAGCGTTAATTTCCTCGCTCACGCGTAATATCCGCGAGAGATAAAAAGAACCTTCGAGTATCTTTTATGTAACTAGAACATCTTCTCACAAGAAGGGTCGACGAGTGCGTAAAACAAACTAGTCATCTTCTCGGTGCAATTTGTTTTCAATTCAAAGCAACGTTGCGTATATTGTGTGACATAACAACATAACGTATTGCCAAAAAATGCAAAAAATTACAAGAACAATTAATGTAATAATTTTTTTGCAAAAAAGGCTCTTGTAAGAAATCGCAACGTTTTGTTTGGACATACGTACTAAACGTGTACAAATATAACTTTTAATTATTTTTGCTCGAAATTGATCTTGATTTGGAACTTTATGGTAATTTTAGAATACAAAACTATTCATACCCTCGAACACAGATTGTTCATTCTTGTCCCCGTGCTCCGACATCTCGCGAAGAAACCAATCTATAAAGTCCGTCTCGCTCCCCTTCTGATATCGCTCTTTGTGTATCTTAATAAAATCCTAAACAACCAATAAGCAAGACAATGTAAGTGTTGTGACGAGTAAAAGACAAGCCGAAATTAAAAAAATATACTAAATTAAATGTAACAAGACAAACAAGACAAACGGAACTGACAAGTGAACGTGAATGATCTTTTTTCCATTTTAAGTTTTTCTGTCAAAAGCTTCGGCAAATACGTGTGTTTCTACTTAAAAAGAAATTACGAACCATTACAACATCCGTGACCTGTTCCTTCAAATTCAAGTCCAATAAAATGTTGTATCTTGTCGTATTGGGTGCGATGTAACGTAACAAAGGTACTGATGACACTAATCCTTTGACCACGTCGAACACTTTCGCGCGACATTCCATCAAATGCAAAATTGACTGCACTCTCTCGTCGCTAACAAAACAATGTTTTCCACCGATAAACAACCAGAGCGTGTTGAGTGTGGCAAGTGCGATTACAGGTTTCATATATCGTACATTTCCTTTTTCCAATTTCTCTAAAATGATCTGAAGTTCGTTCAGAAGAAAATCTACCATCGTGCGTTTGCCGTATCCGATGTTTCTCATTGTGCGTAATGACCACGCGCGCAATTCTTTGTGCTCGGAACCGAAATTCGTAAAGAGACCTTTGAAAACAAGGATTTAACAATATTAGCAATACAATTATAAGAAAACTATGTAATATAACTTTTAGTAAAAGCATGAGAACATTTAATTGTAGCGTAAAGTTGGTTTTTGATCAAATCTGAAGCAAGGCGACGTCAAAACGACGTTCTTTCTATCCGGATTAAAATACACAGAATACAAAATTAAATATACAACTCAAATTCGCTACCTCTTTTTATTCCCGGGTTTCGCACATTGATCACTGTGTTCCACGGGCGTGCATTAAACTCGTCTTTTTGCAAAAGATGCACAAGCTTCGAATCATTGATAACAACTACATTAGTACCCAATTGCAAACCTATTACATTACTCTTGTATTTCTTGCTAAGATATTCAAAAGCAAGATAATGCGCACCGAGTTCTTTGATCAGTTTGCGCACATACAACACATTTCCAATCAGTGGCCAAGGAAAAGGACCTGAAAGTTCAACATTTTTTGTCACAAACTATCGTGTCTTCATTCTTTTGTAAAATTAAATATTTATTATTTTACCAACCAATCTATTAAAATCGTCGTAATATACAACGCGAGATTGTAAAATTTTATTTGTTTGCAAATGATTTTTTTTTCTATTACACTAATATAACAATATAATATTTGCATTTATTTTTTATGTATCTATTTAAGAACATTTCAAACAAGTGTACAAATCATGAGTGACAATCCGCAAATCGTGAACAGTGTGAAAAACTTACAAATGCGACGAATAAATCTTGATGACTTTACAACAAAAGTCTATGAGTCATGTATCAAATGATTGAATTGCAAATTGCGCAACCTTAGTTTAACTTAAAAAACCAAAACTATATTGTCTAAGATAAAAATTTTTAATTACCTGGTGGACAGTTTCGTCGTGACTGTCGCAACTTTAGACCAACAAACAAAACAGTCAAGATAAGCAGAATTAGTAGTGCGCTCATATTTCAGTTTTCCAATCAACTAGTAAAACTAGTAAATTTCTTAAAATTCGGACTTCACTATTTGCACTTCTATCCCGCACAGCTGCCACCAATGTAAGATTTGTAATCTCTGTTAGTTTTTAAAAAAAATTTTATTCACTTACACAGTTATAATATTCTTTCTATACCTGCAACATAGAGAAAGATACAGTGTGACAAAAACGACCCTGGTTTGCAGATAGAAAGTAACAAAAAACGTTTAAAGAGTATTACATCTGTGATGAGCAAAATTTTTTGCTACGGTTTCTTTTTTTTCAAAAAAGTGTTGAAAACAATCTATGTTTAACAGAAAATCACGAATGTGATCACAATGAGAATAAACGTCACACCAATTAACAAATAATTCATAATTGTATGTTTGACACTTTCAGTTTCATCGAACTATTTAAGAAACAATTAAAAAAATATCACAAACAGCGCGAAACCATTGCATTCAAAAATGCGACCCATAACTGAAAGTAGAAAAAAAACAAACAATTTAAATCTTTATATAAAATATACACACATATGTACTTACAAAATATAGAATGCGGAATATCCAAAAAACTACAGAATGATGCAGTAACTAATATTGGCGCAATTTTATCTCATATAACTCGGTGACAAAGTTTTGTTGTACCTTTTNTGTAGAAGAAAAAGAAAAAGTTCTTACAGTTTCTCTCGTGCTTTACAGTAATCTTAAATTAGGTTGCGGCCTCTTACGTTGTCAGCTAACTGAGAAGTGACGAGAAGTGACGAACATGTAAAAATTATACTTAGACTATAAGAGCGAACATATGTGCGGTTCTTTTTATATACTTGGTCAATAATAAACTATAATCTTTACTGTCATATTACTAAGAAAAAAACTTACATAAGTTTATGTAAGCGACATAGTTGTAAAAACAATAAAAAAGAAATAAAATAATATTGACGAACAAATTGCTTATCAGACAAACGCGGTAAAACTTTGTAATACATCGGATTTAAAGTAACTATTGCCCTAGTCCGAAATCCTAAAGCTTGCAAGGACAAAGGTTTTTTCCGGAAAGTTTGTATCGATGCGGATTGAGATTCCATCAGATAGACAAGTTGCATAGCGCTTTTCTTATCACCTTGTCTTGAAGGTTTCCTCAACTTTTCGACATCAAAACTGAAACACATGTATTCCATGCTCATGAAATATATACGAGGTCAGTGACTTCGCAAAGGTCGCGCGGCGGAGGTCAGTTACATTACTGTAGTATGTATATACTACATATAATACAATATAAAGTATAATATTATAAATATATAATAAATAATATGTATAATATGTATTATTGAATGGTATATATAATATAAATTACAGTCATGTTATATATTTTCACGTGTTGTTTTGTCTACTCTTTCCTGTCACGCAACTTTAGTTCCGTTTTTAATTTTCTCTACATATACGACGACCTGCCTTTAAATCGCTTTTCATTATTTACTCTCTCGATCTTATCGATTCGATTCGACTCGTTCAACCAATCAACCAATCGGCAACGCAAAAAAGAAACAACAATAGATGCGATATATTCGGCTCCAAACCATTGGATTGTTTGCCTTATTTATTTTTATTTTTCTACTTCAAATATCTACAAAACACTTATCACTCAAAAATTCGCCATGCTAAGANTGTTTAGAACAATAACTTTTATAATATACATTTACTCGGTTACTATAAACGAAGTCATCGTGGAACGATTAGCAGTTCATACGGCTTCGGATGAACTGTCAATCCTATGTTTACTTCTATTTTAATAGAATCTTCATTGTTCGGCGGAAGAACCTGATACTTTTGCATCACGCCAACAAAAAAGAAAAACAGCGCCGATCTGACGAGTATTTCTCCAGGACATCGTCGTTTTCCTGAATAAACAACATAAGAAATACATTTTTAAGAAACAAACCTCGAAGATACAAAGTACGGAGTTTTATTTCGATGTCGCAAAGTTTAATTTTGAACAACGTAAATTATTGTACTACGAATGTAGTGATTTACTTGCCTTTTCCAAATAACATTAAGTTTTCATTTACTTGAAATATACCGTCCTTCAAAAACCGTTCGGGCTTGAACGACATCGGATCGGGAAATAACGTCGCGTCGTGATTTAAAGACGCCATGTTAAACAATACTGTGGTACCTCGCGGTATTTTGTAGCCCTCGATTATTGTATCCTCCACCGTTTCTCGAGGTATCACCGGAAAAATTATCCATTTTCTAATGCACTCGTTTATCACAGCCTCGGTAAAATTCATTTTATTTCTGTCGGTCATATCGGGAAATCTGTCGGGACCGATCACTCGATCGATTTCCTCGTGCAGTTTGCGCTGTGCATCCTGGTGATTGGCCATTTCTAAAAACAGGAACTCTAAAACCGGCGTCGTCGTGCTAGCTCCGGCGATAAAAAAGTCCACCAAGATGATAAGCAAAGTGTTATCTGAAAAAATACGTACGTAAAAATATCGACCATTTCGTGATTTTGAAAAAACAATCGCGAAAGAAACATTTTTTCGTTCGACGGTGCTTTCATTAGCACACTCCGAATTGCCGATGGAAGCGTTAATTTCCTCGACCGCGCGTACTATCCGAGAGATAAAAAAAAGCTTTGATTATCTTTTATGTAACTAGAACATCTTGACAACAAGAAGTGCTAAAGAATGCCTTAAACAACATACACAGTAAAAAATTGTGTGTCAAAATGTAGAATTTTTTTGGTGTCCCGACGTTTTGATTATTACTTTAATGTAAAATTAACATAATACCGAGATGGCACAGAGAGCCGAAGATTCCATATTCGACTCCTAGCCGAGGAGTTTTATTCGCAATATTTTAAAATTACTTAAGGGAATATCCGGGGTCTCTCATATGTGAGATGCAAATCCAACATCCTGTATTAATTTAAGAATTGAGATTTCAATTCAAAAACTATTTGTAAAAACTTCAAGTTGAACTCGTTACATGTGTATATACCTATATACACGTACAGTTTCCGCTCAACATCCTGGGAACGGCTCGTAAGGTCTTCTATATTTCTTGGTTATAATACCGATATGTTATTATTTTTTTAATCTTTGCACGTGTTAATTTTGTGTTAACTTCAGAAATTAACATTTTTTGTATGTTATCTTCTCGGTACAATTTGTTATCAATTCAAAGCAACGCCGCGTATATTGTGTGACACACATAACAATGTAACGTATTGACAAAAAATGCAAAAACTTACAAGAACAATTAATGTAATAATTATTTTGCAAATAAAACTCTTGTAAGAAATCGCAACGTTTTGTTTGGACATACGTACTAAACGTGTACAAATATAACTTTTAATTATTTTTGCTCAAAATTGATCTTACTTTGTAACTTTATGGTAATTTTAGAATACAAAACCATTCCTACCCTCGAACACAGAGTGTTCATTCTTGTCGTGCTCCGACATCTCGCGAAAGAACCAATCAATAAAGTCCGTCTCGCTTCTGTTCTGATATCGCTCTTTGTGTTTAGTAATAACGTCCTACACAATCAATAATAGCAAGACAGTGTAAATGTTGTGACAACTATAAGACAAGCGCTAACATTTACAAAACTAATAATAAATTAGATGTAAAAATAAGACAAACGAAACTGTCAAGTGAACGTGAATGATCTTTTGTACACTTTAAATTTTATTTTCAAAAGCGTTGTCAAAAAATTGTCTTTAAATAAAAAGATATTACGAACCATTAAAAGATCCTTGAGCTGTTTATTCAATTCCAATAAAATGTTGTATCCTGTCATATTGGGTGCGATGTAACGTAACCAGGGAAACGACGAAACTATTCCTCCGGTAACGTCGAACACTATCGCGCGACATTCGATCAGATGCAAAATTGACTGCAATCTCTTATCGCTGTCCAAAAAATGTTTCCCCGCGATCAACAAAAAGAGCGTGTTGAGTGTTGAAGTTGCGATTACAGGTTTCATATACCGTACATTTTCCTTTTTCAATTTGTCTAAGATGATCTGAAGTTCGTTCAGAAGAAAATCTGCCATTGTGCGTTTGCCGTATCCGATGTTTCTCATTGTGCGTAATGACCACACCCTCAAATATTTGTGCTCGGAACCGTCGTTCATCACAAGACCTTTGAAGACAAGGAATAAGCAAAATTAGCAATAACATTATAAGACAACAATGTAATCAAACTTCTAGTGAAAGCATGAGAACATTTAATCGTAGCGAAAAGTTGATTTTTGATCAAATTTGAAGCAAGGCGCCGTCAAAAAGTTATCTTTCTATCCTGACTGAAATACACATCGGAATACGCAATTAAATATACAACTCAAATTCCCTACCTTTTTTCATTCCCATATTTCGCAGATTCATCAGTTTGGTCCACGGGCGAGCATTAAACTCGTCTTTTTGCAAAATATGCACAAGCTTCGAATCATTGATAACCACTACATTAGCACCCAATTGCAAATTTAAAATTTTACTTTTGTATTTCTTGCTGAGATAATCAAAAGCAAGATATTGCGCACCGAGTTCTTTGGTAAGTTTGCGCACATANAACACATTTCCAATCAATGGCCAAGGAAAAGGACCTAAAAGTTCAACATTTTTTGTCACAAACTATCGTGTCTTCAATCTTTTGTAAAATTGAATATTTAGTATTTTATCAAATCTTCTATTAACATCGTCGTGATATAAAACGAAAAATATTGTAAAATTTTATTTGTTTGCAAATGATTTTTTTTCTCTTATACTAATATAACAATATAATATGTGCAATTATTTTTTATGTATTTAATTAGAAACATTTCAAACAAGTGTACAAATCACGAGTGACAATCTGCGAATCGTGAACAGTGTGAAATGCTTACAAATGCGACGAATGAATCTTGTTGAACTTACAACAAAAGTCTATGAGTCATGAATCCAATGATTGACTTGCAACTTGCGCACTCTTTGTTTAACTTAGAAACACAAAACTATATTGTCTAAGATAAAAACTTTTATTTACCTGGTGGATAGTTTTGTCGTGATTGTCGCAACTTTAAACCAAAAAACAAAACAGTCAAAATAAGCAGAATTAGTAGTGCGGTCATTTTTCAGTTTTTCCACTTAACTAGAAAACCTCTTATCTTCCTTGGAATTCGAACTACACTGTTTGCACTTCTATCCTGCACAGCTGCCACTAATGTAAGATTTGTAGCCTCTGTTAGTTTTTAAAATCCAATTTTATTCACTTTCACAGTTAAATTATTCTTTCTATACCTTCAACATAGAGAAAGATACAGTGCGACAAAAACGACCCTAATTTGCAGATAGAAAGTAACAAAAAACGTTTAAAGAGTATTACACCTGTGATCAGCAAAATTTTTCGCCACGGTTTCTTTTTCTTCAAAAAATTGTTGAAACCAATCTATGTTTAACAAAAAATCATGAGTGTGATCACAGTGATAATAAACGTCACACCAATTAACAAATAATTCATAATTGTATGTTTGACACTTTCAGTTTCATCGAAATATTTGAGAAACAATTAAAAAAATATCACAAACAACGCGCAACCATTGCATTCAAAANTGCGACCCATAACTGAGAGTAGAAAACAAACAAACGATTTGAAAACTTTATATAAAATATACACACATATTTACTTACAAAATATAGAATGCGGAATATCCAAAAAACTACAGAGTGATGCAGTAACTAATATTGGCGCAATATTATCTCATATAACTCGGAGACAAAGTTTTGTTGTACCTTTTCTGTAGAAGAAAAAGAAAAGTTCTTACAGTTTCTCTCGTGCTTTACAGCAATCTTAAATTAAGTTGCGGCCTCTTACGTTGTCAGCTAACTGAGGAGTGACGAGAAGTGACGAACATGTAAAAATTATACTTAGACTATAAGAGCGAACATATGTGCGGTTCTTTTTATATACTTGGTTTGTAATAAACTATAATCTTTACTGTCATATTAATAAGATAGAAACTTACATAAGTTTATGTAAGCGACAAAGTTGTAAATACATTAAAAAA